GCTGTCCGGCAGGTGCCACACAGCCACTGAGTCGTAGCGGTCATCTCTGACCTGCCACAGCTTGGGTATAGGAGATGTAAACGAGGCAGCGTGAAGGAGCTTGGCTTTGTGTGTCCTCAACAGGCTACAGCGAAAAGGGAAATAAAAGGGAGCTCACTCATTCTGTGCCAGGAAGGCTAAGCCCACCTTCTTTGCCAGGCTGTGCTCTGATTCTCCCTTCTTCTGCTCCCTCCAGAGAAACAGCAGGAGCAGAAAAGGCCGCTTTTCACGTCTTTACTGCTTGTGCAAAGAGAAACAACTCTTTTTTCACCTCTATGATGCAATATCTTGCGCTTTGGCTGTAAATTCCATGAAACGGTTACGGCTTACCGTCTTTCTAATGATGAAAAAGAAATGGAGAATACTCTTATGTCTTAGTGGACAAGCAGTGTGCCCACTGTGGTTTTCAAAGCTGGAGACACATGGTGCGGGTCAGCAGTACAGGCACTATCTTGCCTTAATGCTTAGCTGATAGTACGATTCACCAATGTATTTATTTAGAGTTCATAGGGTATTTGGAAGCTGTAAAGTGTTTTTAATACTGCTAAACTCACACAAAAAATCACATGTTAACGTTCAGGTTTTATGTTAGGTTTTTTTCCTGTGCCTGTTCCAGTAATCTTTTGTAGCCTTGTAGAAGAGGAAAGCGGGACAGCTTTTCTAAAACCTTAGAGTTAGGATGTGTAAATAAAAGCAAATAATATTGATTGCTTGTTTGGAAAATAATTTTGACTTTCTGTTGCAACTGTGATTCTTTGGCCTGACGGAGATCCTCCAATAATTTCAGTGATGTCAGACTGAGCAGCTGTCATCATGAGTGGTGAAGCTTACTCCTTCACAAGCAGAATGCTTTCTCAAAGGGCCTGTCTAAGGAGAAATGCACAGGGTGTGTTTAAACTGCACCCGCAACAGGCACTGACAACCGTCTTGCGGAGCTCAGGACAGGCTGTGAGGTCTGCTTGAGAAACAAGGTGAACGAATCTGTACTTGGGACGGTCACTTACTGAAAAGAAAACAAATATGACCCAGCAGGAAAGAAAAAGAACTTATTTTATTGGGAATAAGACTGAATATAAGGCTGAATATAGTTGTGGTAGCCCAGGATTTTGCAGAATGTGGCACAGTGCTATGGTGATCTGGAAGTGCCTTGTCTGTGCAAGAGTGAAGGCTGTGGTGGTAAAGAAAGCAGCCTTAATTTGACGAAGAGAGCAGTTCACCTTACAGTTAAATAGAAAAGAAGCAGTGTGTCCCCAAATCCAATTACTTCTTTTCTTGTCAGAAGTAAATGTGCTCTGTATCTTGCAAAAAAGAAAACTCATGCATGTTGCATTAGATCCAGAATATCTTCTTCTTCTGCCGTCCTTTACTCTGAACGCTTCTGCTGAAGTGTGGGAAGTCCAAAAGTTTATCTCAGAACAAAGGAACAAAAGCAGGCCTGGTGTAAGAGGACCTACTAGCAGTATAAAATTGGAGAGGAAAGGTCTGTGTCTTGGTGCTATAAGAGGAATTTAGACCATTTGTAGGGCCTGTAAGGAAACTGTGTGACAGATACTCTTTCAGTGTGGGTAGTAATTTAGTTAACAACTACATCTGTTGTTTTCTGTATGATAAGATAGTCCACAATGTTGTTAGACTGAAAAGACAGTCTCAACCGAATGTAATGAAACAGGAGTTAGAATAATGACCAGAGTTGCTTTGAGGAAGCTAGATACTTGCTCCCCATTCTAACATGAGGCTCACCCTCATACTGTCAAGCTCCAGGAACAAATCCATTAAATTCTTCCAAAGCCGGTGATGCTATATATTCCTCCTCTTAAATACCCCAAATCCGGAAACCCAATTTAAGATGTTTGATAACTTTTCTGCAGTGTTTCTGCTAGTCTTTCGTGATTTCATTACAGAAAGGCTTCTTAACTCTCAAAGGCGGACAAAAGCTTTGTAGAAAAGAGATTTCCAGGTATGACTATACCGATTGCGTGCAACTACCACGCAAAATCCCACTCTTTGTACTCTGCCAGGCAGTGCGATTTGCTGCATTCAGCCACATCAGAAATTAAGTTGAGAAACATCGGTCTGGAGCATTCAGCCCTGGAGCAAAAATAATAAAGTCCCTGTGTTGGGTTTTTTTCCTTCAGCAAGCCTGTGCCTGCCGCATTGCACACAAGGTCTGAAATCCATGTAATCTCTGATTGCCTTGTCATCATTCATTTAGCTCTGAAACAAGAGACTTGGAAGGCATCAACGCAGATTAACCTCTTTCCCCGACATCTTTTCTGTGGTTGAGACTTCAGACTTGCGGCAGAAAATTGCATCCTGAGCACTTCCAACTAATTCTTTGCTTTTTTCCTTAGATGTGTCTTAGTATTTTTCTCAACATATCAAGGTTTCTCAACAACAGGTTTACAGATACTACGTTGCCTTTCTGAAGGTATTGTGGAGGGAATTTGATACAGAGGTATCTGTTGTGCTTCATGCTTTGACTGCAAAGAAATATTGCCTGCAACTTCGTTCTAATGTATAGTTAGTTATTTTATTTGGTCTTTACAGATCTGGAGGACTTTTTCTGCTTGCTTCCAATTTTAGTTAGCTACTTACTACCCTCGGAAACATGACAAATCTGCCTGTAGTTAGGGGGAGTTCTATAGCTAAATGTTTTAGTTAGATTGGCTGAGACAATGAATGTTGGTGGTCTTGGGTACAACGGTTTTTGACGTGCAACTTTCCCATCTCTGGAGAGTGTCACATCAGGAGTTAAGAGAATAGATGTGCATGGGATGCTTAAGGCAAACAATCATTTTAGGTTACTGATGCGGTCAAATATGTTTGACCTTTATTGTCTTTATTTGTATCACATTAGCATCCAGAAGTCTCCAAGATCATTGCTCTGTTGTGCTAGGTGCTTGCAGCATATTATGTAAACTAGTTCTGGACCCTTTAGAATTTGGTATAAACAAATACATTTAGCAGCAAAACTGTCTTTCAGGTGCAGAAATGCATGTCACTAGGCTTGGGCAAGTTACCGCTGGGAACAGAGTGCAAACCTCTCGACTCTGAGCCATGCCAAAACTCCCAAATTTGTTCTTTCCTGCAATGAGAGATGGCTTTTATTTGTATGGATGCATCGTGCTTTTCATTTTAGAATTCACTTTGCAGCTCAGTGTCTGTCAGCTGCACATCAGCTTGAGTAGAGACTTGCTGGAAAATTTAGAAGAGAAATATTTGGTCACCCTCCTATTCATAAAAGTTAATTATTATATCAGTACGACAAATGTATCACAGCTTTCTTCCCCTTTATTTAAAATACAGGTCATCTGATAGTCCATTGATTTGACTTTCTGTCCTTACTGCCATTATATTATATTCTACCCCACCTAAAGCAAAATTGGTCAGTTGTTTTCAGAAGGACTGCACATAAGTGTCCTCTCATTTGATGCTGGCACAACCAAACAGAGCTCTGTGTGATCAGAAGCACTTACTTAATCTGCCTTGAAGCTTTCCACCTTCCTTTATGTTGAATTAAACCTCAGTTTCCATCCTTTTCCTTCCTAGCAACTTTCAGAAATTACTGCCTCAAGACTTAGATCTCTGATTTCCCCATGTGTGTTTTTATAAACTGTCCCTTTATCATGTTGCAGCTTAGGAAGATCACAGTGCATCAGGCTTTTTTTTCTGTACTTCATTTCAGCTGTGAATTCAGTGCTTTGTTCCTTTTCTGAGTAATGCAGCGCAGTTTGTTTGATCTAGATTATTCAGAGAGGTTGTAACTTCTCATTCAAATTGCATGCCATTTGTTCTTAAATACTGTAAACAGCACATCTCGTCGTTTCCCTTTCCCATTTCATTGCCCTGCTGAGTTAGTAGCTCCTGGTACACGTACAAAATAGTTCAGAAAGTGTTAGCACAACCGAGCGCAAGAATAATGAACTTTTAATTCCACGTTTGTGTTTTTCCTGTAGGCAAATGCCAGCAATTTAAAGAATTTCCTTTCAGCTGTGAGACTGGCTCACCAAGGGACTGACATAGGAGCTCTCCCTCTCTCAACTTTGGTACCGGCAAAGAACTCGGAAGTTGAAAAACCTAAGACAAAAATGATCATAACTTCAAGAAGGGACTATCCTCTCACCAAGAACTTCCCTTACTCCCTCGAACATCTCCAAGCCTCGTATTGCAAACTTGCTCGAATCGACATGCGTGTGCTTTGTTTGAAGAAACTCCGAAAACTAGACCTAAGTCATAATCATATTAAGCAGCTGCCAGCGACTATTGGTGACCTGATCTGTCTTCAGGAGCTTAATTTGCACGACAATCACCTGGAGTCCTTCAGCGGGGCTCTCTGCAACTCCACCCTTCAGAAATCTCTCCAGTTCTTGGACCTGAGCCAAAACAAAATTAAAGCACTTCCAATTCAGTTTTGCCAGCTGCGAGAACTCGTTAATTTAAAGCTCGATGACAATGAGTTGATTAGGTTACCATTCAAGATTGGCCAGTTAGATCATCTACGCTTTCTGTCTGCGGCTCGAAACAAACTTCCTTTCTTGCCCAGTGATTTTAGGAAACTCTGTCTTGAAAACTTGGATCTCTTTGGAAATCCTTTTGAACAGCCTAATCCACTTGTTCCCAACATACAACTGAAAATACCATTGACTTTATTAGAGTGTGCTGCAAGAGCAACCGTAAATTACAGGTAAGAGTAGCGTGATGGGTACACGTTGCACCTACTCCGTTTCAAACCCGTCGAGTCTAAACTTTCCTGACTTGTTTTTTTTTCCTGTCAGTGGCTATTGCTCTTCCCCTATTAAAAATCGTAAGGTTAAAGTTGCTTTGAATTCCACTTGCAAAATCATCCCTTTGTTATACAGGATAACGCAGTAAATTGGTGACTTGGTAGCATTTAGAGAAAGCTATAGGTTGAAATTTTTTTATCCACAAAATGAGGGCACCATAGCAGAATATTCTTGCCCAGCTGTGGGAAAGGAGAATCAGTCCTACAACCCTGAACCACTTCTGGCATTTTGTATTGAGGAGCTTACATGACAGTGGATTTTGTGGCACTGATCTTATTTTGTGTTGGGCTCTAGCTTGGAAACTGCTTTCAAACATGGCTGCCCTTCATCTTGTGCTCACGTTAAGGTACCCTAAAACTGTGTGTAATACCCATTAGCCTGTCACTGTCCCTTCCCGTGTGAGAATAGTGTGTTGGCAGAAGGCTACCTTCTACCACGCAGCTCCTGGTTACAGACATGGATCGGTCTGTCTCTCCTTGAGATAGGACCTCACAGGAGCTGAGTAGTGTTAGAAAGGTGCCGTGAGGTGGCTGCTCCAAGGGCGAATGTCACGCTGGAGTTGGCGTTACCTCCTGCAGGCTTCTCCCAACCTTAAGTTTTCCTTGAGCTGTTAATTTCCTTCGGTGTTGGAGGGAGGGTGCTCTGTCTTACACAGAGAAGCCCAGTTCTGCGGTAATTTTAAACTTATTATTTTACCACGTAAACATCATCCTTGCCAGACTGCTGTTTGTTATCAGTTTTCTCCCCTTCCCCCACACCGGTTACGTAGCTCCACCTGCATGCCGCTGCCTGTGATCCTTCAGGTACCAGCTGCTGCTACTCCCACCCCTGTTCTGGGTGCAAAGGGAGCAGGATGGAAAAGTCACGGCTACAGAAAGGGGGGGAGAGACAGACTTGAAGTGTTCCTAATCTACATTCTGTGCCCGTTCCTGCCTTGGGGGTGAGGAGTGCCCCATAAACCTGGGTTAATTGCTCAGAAGTCCGTGCTAAAGGTGTCCACAGGCATGCAGGGCACGCCCTGGAAATGAGCTGAGCAACCAAATGTTCTGGTTCAAATCTTGCCCGCTTCTGACCTTGCTGATTTTATTAGTGTAATTAAACTCCACGTGTCTCCTTTCCCAACTTTATATAAATTGCAGTGGTTTTGGTATAAATATTATTAAGGCATGGTTTGTTTGTTTTTTCTAGAGAATATGATCCCTCCGCACTGGTCAGATTTTGGTGCTCAATTACATTACCAGAGTACCTAAGGATACCTAGTCATGAACCCAGCCCCTGGCCCCCATGCAGCAGGCTTTTAGACAACGGCCCCACACAGAACAAAAAAAGGCTTTCTGATGCAGGAGTCTGAGTGAAACAAGGGGCAATGGAAACAGTCCCCTTGCCCATGGGTCTGTGATTATTAGGAGACAGCATGGGTTGGAGTGGTCCTGATTATCTTAAATGGAAAAGAAAAGAAAAAAGAAGTCTAACAAGTGGGCAACAGACGTTCTGTCTGACATTCACTGGATGTGAGAATTAACAGAGAATGAGAAACAGGCGTGATGATGGGCTGTAAAAAACTTGAGAAGGGAAGAAAACTGAAGGAAGGAAGATGCAGAAGCAAATGTTGGGAAATCAGTCTTTGTAGTGGCATTCTGGGCAAGTACCAGAGCTGTGATTATGCTTTTCCTGACCGGAAAAAAGGATGTCCTGAAATTGAGGTGGTGAAAAAAAAAAACCCACAGGAGTTTTAGCTATGTGAATGATGATATGTAGAAAGAATTGGGAATATGTAGGTGTAGTCGGAATGTGAGTCAGTGAGATCTGTCCTGTGAGTCTCCAGTGACAGCTCTGGGCACTGGTGATACCCACACTTTGAAGTTAACTCGACGAAGAACTTCAGGCAAATAATTTATTTTGTACCCCAAACATAACGCCGCTCTGCTGTGAATTTAAAAAGAAGCAATTCTTGTTCCTGTCTCTGGATGTCGTTATTGACATGATGGATGAAAAGAGTGGTATATCAAGAGAACCTTAATTTACTGCCTGCAATGTAGTATTACTGTAAAAAGGCTCATTTTATCTCCTGTTCCCTCTGGATACGGTATTTTTACACTACTACCACTTCTTCATGTTAGAGAGTAAGGAGCCAATTGTGGGTGCTTTGTCAGGCCAGGATGAAATACAGTGATCTTCCTGAATAATGTGAGGGAAGAGCAGATATGTGCCCAGTTGTCTCACTATTCTTATCCTTCTTTTTAATTCTCTAATTCTCTATCGCTGTCATACAGGCTGTTATGATTTGTGTGAACTCCCTGGTTCTTGCTGCATCTTCCTGGCTAATGTGAGGGAAGAGCAGATATATGCCCAGTTGTCTCACTATTCTTATTCTCTTATTCTCTCTCTTATTCTCTAATTCTCTATCGCTGTCATACAGGCTGTTATGATTTGTGTGAACTCCCTGGTTCTTGCTGCAGTGTCTTCTGGGGTTCAGGTCCTTGGTACTTAGGGGTCAGTAACGTGGATGCATGTTTTTAGTGATTGTCTTGGAAAGTGGTGTTTTAATTCCTAACGAGTCAAATATTGCAAGTGGCAAAATTTCAAATTTGCCTTGTCTATGGTTTCGGAAAGACGTTTCTTCCAACTGGTGCATATGGCGTGTCACTGTGTGTGAGTGACACTGGTTAATTTTGTAGTGAATTCACAAGTACTCCTCTTGTTCAACAGAATCCCTTATGGTTGTCATCTCCTTCCTTCTCACCTTTGTGAAGATCTGGAAGTGGCTAAAACATGCCAGTGCGGAAGTGCCTGTCTGAGCAGCTTCATTCAGATCACGGTGACCATGAATCTCCATCACGTAGCTCACACCGTGGTCCTCGTGGATAACATGGGAGGTACGGAAGCACCCATCATCTGCTACTTCTGTTCTCTAGACTGCTATTCCCAGTTCCTGGATAGGTACCTGCAGAGTAACGGGTGACTGTTATCGGGCACAAAAGCTCTGCTTGAAGTTCTGTCCGGTGATGGAGGAGCCTGAAATTGTTTTCTGCTTGTTACCCACCCGTGCTGTCGTAGGCCCTTTGCTGCAGATAGCAAATGTCAGTCATGCAGTGAGGGGGCACCGTCAGCCTGACCTGGTGGCCTGCCTGTTCCTCCACTACTAGAATCTCCCTTTGATTGGAATAAAAAGCGATGCTTACCTTTGAATGAATCTTCCTTAGAATGTATTTTGCTTGCTTTCTCTTATTGCTGTGACTTTGTTCAGAGTATCACGACATTTTTCTTTCTTTTGTGGAGTAAGTGGTTTCTTCTTGCTAGGAGAAGGAAGGTGAGCTTGTATCAAACTGCTTTGCTCGCTTACCCTTGAGGCTCTGACCTCTGCCTACAGAAGTTGACTCTGTTGGCTTTATCACTGGGCCGGGCTCTTCTCGACTTGTTTACTGTAGAGCACCTTGGTAGGCTGCTACGAGAAGAAATTACGGCGTGAGCAGTTCGAAACTGGCCATGTAATTCCAGGTGCTTCTTTTTAAAATGTTCTGTTATTGCATTGTCACTTCAAGTAGGGACCAGCATTGCTGGTTTTTTACCAGAGCAAATGTTTTTGATCTCTTTTGTGATACAAGAAACATCCTTTTCTAAATATGTGACCTAAACTTTGTTTCTTAACTCTCATGTTTTAAAGATTCTTGAATTGTTCACTGTGTCAACTTATTAAATTTTGAATCCCTTCTATGGACATGTGAATTGTGTTTTCTCTAATGAGTTTTTCACCCAGTGTATTCTAGGGATTAGCTCCTGGACTTTTTCCTGGTGAAGATACCGAAATACTTGAGAGTATCCACACACCTTCATTTCACATCTTGTCAGCCGGTCCACGGCTGGGGTATTGAAACAGCATGGAACAAAAGTCCCTTGAGAAGCCTTTAGGCATCCCGTGGCCTGGAACGTGTGATGGCTTGGAGGGGGTATGTTACACTTATTCTCAAAGCTGTATTGACTGCCCAGGAGCGAGTTACACACTTTGCATCTCTTTGGGTCATAGGTAAGTACACTGCTGTGACAATATATGTATTTTCAATGGGAAAACAAGACATCTGTAGTTACCGAGTGCAGAGCTGGGCTTCAGGTGACAGCTAAATGTGAGGTACAGCGTGAGGAGCAGCCTGAAAGGCGGCAGTAGGCTTTGGATGAAGGTACTGGCTTGCAGGTGTCACTTAATGTCTCCTAGGTGAGCACAGCCTTCATCCACATTCTAAAAATCATCAAACTTCACTAATCCAAGACATTCACAGCAGAAATAAATATTGAAGCACGCCTACTGAAGGGCTTTGCTCTGACAAGGCCAAGAGACACATTTTCCTGAGGAAGAGGAGCGTTTATTCTAGAAATATTAAGTGTCATTAAAACTTTCTGTGAATGTCAAAATAACTTGACTGTGTTCTTTTCATACAGTATTTGTAAAACAGTAACTTTTAAGCAACTACAGGAAGATTTGGATGAATCATTCCTTTTCTGTTGCTCTTCAACTACAGAGAACTTGTGAAGGAGGAGGCCAAGTGTCCCTGTTTACCTCAACACCAATCTTCGGGAAGCACGGCAGAGCTAACCCTGGGAGGTTTTAAATAGTCATATGCTAATGCTGTTGTAAAGGGAGAGAGATCTCATCCTGATTGCAGCAGCCTAAAGATTACTCATTTGGAAAAACACCTTTTAGGTGGAGTGCATGATTAAGAGGAGGGAAGTGGAGTAGACAGAGAAATTTGGCCTCCTGCGGGGCTCCTCAGGAATTGCAGATGCAGATGTGTGGGTGTCTGTGCAGTGGCCGAGAGCCTTCCAGGAGAGCCAGCTGTGCTGGGCGGAGGAGGAAACTGCAGCGGCGTGGCCCATGAGGCCAGCAGCCTGATAGCCAGGGGTGAGCTGTGAAGTCCTGTCCAAGCCCTGCTGTGCCGGGAGAAGGGATCAGCTGGGGGGTTAAAGGCCAAGGTGATGAGGAGTGCAGCCTCTCTTGGCATGAAAAGCAGGCTGTGAACTGTGGGAAAGGGCTTTTTGTATGGGAATAGTTTGCTGTCAGCTCTGCACGTGCTGCTGGGCGTTTCCCATGTGCCACTGGGCTGACATTATCTCTGAAGCAAACGTCATCCCCAAAACTGACTTGGCTTCCCTTAATCCTCTGAAACTGCAGCAGCTGACTCGGTATCGAGGAGGGCAGTAGGGTGCTGCAGCCCTGTTCTGCAGAGGTTCTTCCCCAGCTGTTATTGCGTTAGTACCACAGCACCTTCCAGCAACGCAGCAACATCCCCAGCATGCTGCAATCTTGCCGTCTCCCCAGTGGTCAAACGTGCAGAGGAGCTTTTTAAACTCCCTGCTTTCCCACTTTCTAACAAAAGATGAAGAAAAGGGCAGTCTTGTGCAGCCAAGCAGAGAGGGGTCAGAGAGGTGTAGGATATCCACAAGTTCTCTTGGGAATCTGTTTTAGCTGACTTCATTTTCTCTGTGTCTTGCAATCCCCGCAGCCAAGCCCTCTCCGTGCTGCAAAGCATTTGTCTTGGGAGGGTGAAGTTCTCTGACTGCAGCTTCATCTTGGAGGCAGGAAGGTGCTTGATGAGTGAGTTGGGGTTCGAGTCTTGATGGCTGCGGAGGGATGAGCAGCCAGGACAGCAGGGGCAGCGGCATTGCCAGGGTGGCTGCTGCAGAGCCCCGTGCCTGCGCTGTGCTGAGCTGGCACTGCCTGCCATCCGCCAGGCAGGAGGTGGCGAAGGAGCCAAGAGCCAAAGCCTTTCTTCAGTTAGGTAAAGCCAAAGCAGAAATGGCACCTTTCACAGAATCACACATAATTCCAGAATGGTGGGGGTTGGAAGGGACCTCTGGAGATCACCCAGTCCAACCCCCTGCCAAAGCAGGGTCAACTACAGCAGTTGCACAGGATCACGTCCAGGCCGGTTTTGAATCTCTCCAGAGAAGGAGACTCCACAGCCTCTCTGGGCAGCCTGTGCCAGGGCTCGGCCACCC